CTGCTGATCTAGCAGTAGCCTGCAGTGCTGCATTTAACCACTGCGCCACCTTGGCTCCTGAACAAAGGAAATGAGTACAATGGGGATGATAGGACAGGGACGGAAGAAAATACTGGTCTGCTTATGCACCATAATAATAACAAAATATTAATTAACTAATTAATATAATTAACATAATAATAACAAAATAAGGTGAGAGGAGGATTTTTCCCCTCACCAATTTTATTAGATTTACACAATCTGCTTTTTCCGTCTTATTCCAGATGTTTAGTAACATTGGTGGAAGTTTTCCTTCATTAATAAAAAATGACAAATTTGATTTATTCAGGAAACATGCAGTAACAGTACCTCAGTGAGCTTCATTGATTCATCTAGTGGACGGGTCTCCAAACTTAGCAACTTTAAGACTTGTAGACTTCAATTCCCAGAATTCCCCAGCCATTATAATGGACCGGTTCAGGAATCATAGTTGTGTCTTTGGAAAGGCGGGAGGCCAGCGCCCCTGTGGACAAAGAGATATTGTTCAACAAATGCCACACACAGGAAGGGCGTTTCTGGAGAACAGCCCCCCCAGGAAGGAGAGGGCCAAGTCCTTGACACGGTATCCAATGACAGCAAAGAGTATGCTCTTTGCTCAGTGGCTAAGATGCTGAGCATGTCGATCAGAAAGGTCGGAATCATCGGACTGGAAAGGACCTCAGAGGTCTCCTAGTCCACCCCTCAGATCCAGGCAGGAGACCTAATACAATCCCACTTTGACAGTTCTCCAGTCTGTTTTTGGAAGCTTCCAGTGAAGGAGCACTCAGAATTCCAGGATGTCAGTTATTCCACTGAATAATTGTTCTCACGCTTAGAAAATTTCTCCTTCTAAGTTGGATCTCTCTTTAACAAGCTTCCACCAGTTGCTTCCATGTCCTGCTGCCTGGGGCTTTGGAGAAGAGCTGAATCCCTTCTTCTCCGGGACAAACCCTCAAGTGCTGGAAGNCTTTTTCTGCCATCAGTTTTCCATGTCTATGCTTAAGGTTGCATAGTGGCTGAATTGAATTTACATGACCATGACCAGAACTTTTGAGAACCAATTGTCATAAGATTCCTTATTGAGCATCATTGTGGGAACTGTCAGTGAGTGAAAGATTGGTAAGAGAGGAGTAAGTAACTGAGTGAATTAGGACTGAGTAAGTGAGGCTGAATGACTCACTTTCATCTTAAACCACCCCACAGAATTGTGGTTGTGGGGAAAATTATGTTGGATATGTGTGCCATCTTGGGTTTTTTGTAAAAAATAACCATTCAACCTTCAAATAATAAAACTGGCTGTGGAATCGGAATCGGCCGGGCACAGGAACCAACGCTGTCTGTAGCCCTGGTGCGCTGCTCACTTGCCTGCCAGCTTCCCCAACCAGCCAGCACAGTAAGGCTGGTACACGTAAGCAAGTAGCGCACCAGGGCCACAGATGGCATTGGTTCCTGCACCAGGCCGATTCTGATTCCACAGCCAGCCTTACTCTTTGAAGGCTGAACGAAGTCTTCAACTGAGCAAGGAAGCACTGCATGGCCAGGCCCTTCACACCTGCGTCCAGCCCGCAGGAGTTCGTTATGGCGGGGCAGGAATGAGACCATGTCCCATAGAGCCCGCTGCCGGGGGCGGGGAAGACAAGAAGAATGGCAAGGCTTTGCGCCAGCCGGCAAACAACAGGCCAAGCGGGGCTGGCTGGCAGGCTGATTGGGCAGGTGGCAATCATGGCTGCATAGGTGGCTGCTGCCCCCAGCAGCTTCAATGCCCAACTGAAGCTGGAATTCGCCACGCTGGGGGAGAAATTAGAGGCCCTGCTGTCCTGCAGAGCCTGCCCTGCTTGAGTGGGGAGGAGGAGAGAGAAAAAAGGCTGCTCAGTTGCCTCCCCCCCCACACACACACCCTGCTGCCAGCAGCTTCAGTGCCCCAACTAAAGCAGGGATCACAAGTTTACTCTCTATCATACACACACACTCACTCTCTCTTACACACACACAGAGTTGGAGAGCCCCCCAGTCTCTGCCTTGCTCTCGCTCTGGCAGTTGCGGTGCTTCAGTGCCTGAGTGGTGGGGAGTTCAGATAAGCCAGGGCGGGGCATGAGGGGGCAGCCACGCACCACGCCACCTTGCTTCGTACTCCACCCCCCCATCTCACTTTGTGACCATCATACCAGTGTGATCTTCTGTTAAAATAAAAGCAAAAGAATGGCCTTTATGAATAATTTCACTGCACTGTTGAAGGCTAATGCTTTAATAATGTTTTTTTATCTCCCTGGAAGCAAATAGGGTGATGTCCCTGGTACTGGAAGATATATCTCTTTGTGATGGAGCACAGACAACATCTCTGCCTCTAAATATTTTATTTTACTTCGTTTGTCAAACATGTACAAGATAACAGGTATAAGTATAAACAAGGACATAGCAATAGCAGTAGACTTATATACCGCTTCATAGGCCTTTCAGGCCTCTCTAAGCGGTTTACAGAGAGTCAGCATATTGCCCCCAACAAT